TGCAGCTGTGATGGTACTATGTTTTTTTCTAAAACCTGACTGAACTGGGGATAAAATGTCCTGGGCGTGCAAGAAGTCTTTCATCTGATCACTCACCAGGGATTCAAGCATTTTGGCCAAAGCAGACAAATTAGAAATTGGTCTATAATTATTTAAATTTGACGGGTCACCCCCTTTCAGTAATGGACAAACAAATGCAGATTTCCAGATTTTAGGAATATATATATATAATACAATATAATATATGAGCAAAGCAGCTCACACCCAGCTACGGAGAAAAATAAAATAAACTTCTACATTTACTTCTGAAACATCTAACATCTTTGATAAGACCTAGAGACACTGCAGGCAGAACGTGACTCGTTCGGTCTGTAGTGAGCATTAACATTCAGTTAAACCTTAAAATAGTCAACAGTTGAATCAGAAAGCTTATTTCAAATAAAAACCACAACATAGCTATCTATTCTGCCTAGTTCACGCAAGCAGAGCACTTATTAAACATCGGATGTGAAGGAGGGGGAAGAGTGATGTTACTGTTTGGTTCGGTGGTACAAAGGCCTTCGGCTCGGCTCAAAGAGATTTGGATCAATCCGATGAAACAATAAGGGGGGATTTGCAAGGGGGTTAATTTTATAACTCACTGTAGCTCGGGACGTCTCCCCTTTAGCTATGGCGGTTAGCTTGTAGCCACAGCTTCTGGCAGCACTGCTTCGGTACCGCTGCATCCCTCCCGTCTCAGGTGGTCACGGTCTGGCAGCTTCTAACGATTTCTTCGGTGAGCAGCGATCGGGGGCAAACGTTGTTCAGCTGTTGGCTGAGTTGGATTAGCTCTGCTCTGTCTCTGCTGCAGCAGGATCCAGAATATACAGCGTTCACTCGGTTTTAACCGCACGGTTTAGTGGACCGCGGTTGAGATTCGGACCCATCTTCTGGCTAATCTGGACCAAACCTGATTTAAAATATTTATACATTACCACATGTTGTCTGAAGACGGTGTCTAACTTCACTTGCGCCGCTTCTCCTGTTAATATGGTAAAGCTGTCCGGAGCACTGGGACCAGGCTACGCGTGGTACAAATTAGCCAATGAGTTGTGCCAGTCAGGGTCGCTGTTGCAAGCTATTTTTAGACACAGCAGGGAAACCTGTGGCAAGACAGTGATGGGAAAGAAGGAGAAGATGATGAGAAAAAGAAAGTAGAGAAAGTGTGGACTGCTGAGTATGTTTGGCTCAACCTACTGCTGTGAAGCAGGATTTTCCACCATTAACATGATCAAAAAATAAGTATTGATCCAGGCTCAAAATGAACACCTTGATGTGTGCTTGAGAATTGCTTTGTCACCATTCAAATCCAGGATTAAAGCCTTGCAGGGCAGCCTACAGCCCACTGCTCTTATTAAGTCATAAAAAAGAAAAATTGTCAGTTCAGGTGTTTTATAAAATATGTGAATCAGGAAATTGTCTGTATACCAAACTAAACGATTGTTGCTCTCTACTTCAAAAAACACTTTAGATTTTAAAATGGAAAATGTTAATTTTTTTTTGTGTGTATATATTGTTCTTATTTAAAAATTCAATGTGTAATATGGATGCATAAAAACCTGCTTTTTATTTCAGTGTTAAATTTGGTTTAAAGTAACAGATTGTAATTAAAAATGTCACCGGATCATTGTTGGTTGATGATTTTCTTTATTCGAACCCTGCTGATTTTGAATAGGTTAGCCCTGCTCTACAGTATGATTTGTTTGTATTCCAGCTGACAATGGAACTATGCATATGTGGGACTGGAGGACAGGCTACAACTTCCAGCGGATTCACGCTGCCGTGCAGCCTGGATCTCTTGACAGCGAGTCAGGAATCTTTGCCTGCATGTTTGACCACTCTGAGAGCCGACTAATCACTGCTGAGGCTGACAAAACCATCAAAGTTTACAAAGAAGATGACACAGCCGTAAGCTTTCCTGTTGCTGTTAAATCCACTCCTGTTTGTAAGCCATCTCTAAGAAATTAAGCTAATGTTTTTTTTTTTTTATTGCAGACTGAAGAAAGCCACCCAATAAACTGGAAACCAGAAATCCTCAAGAGAAAAAGATTCTGATTTTGTTTTTTGTTTTTTTTGTTTTTTTATGTATTGCTCATCTATCAGTACATCCATCAGGTTTTTTTTCAGTCAGCAAACAGCATTGATTTTGTTAGACTTCAAACAGGCTATCCCATCTTGACTTTAATTATTCTACAAAACAATTAGTCACCAATTTATGCTGTCAGACTAAAGAAAAACTCCAACTTGGACTTCATGACACCACCTGGAAACACCCTAAACATCCAGAGGATTCTGTGTTTATCTGGGATCAAAACATTTTGCAGAAGCCAGAAAAATTCTCAATATTTCTTCTACAAGATGGTTAGTTGTACAGACATGAATACTTTCTTTTGCTCCAATAAAACAGACTTTTTTTTCACAAATCTGTTGTTGTTTTTTTATGTTTTGTTTTATAAAATAAGTTTCAGGTCCTCATAGAGACATGTTGATGAAAGATATCCTGGAGTGAAGGTTTTGCAGCCACTACCCTTAATTTCCCAGTAACTGGTCTTAAGACATCTATTGAGTTCCGCTGTATGTCTGCTGTTACTGTACTTTTAATAACTGTTCACCTGTGAGGGCAACTCAATAACATTATTGATTAAGCTAGGAGTCCCTGATTAACTTTTAACTGTAAAATATTCTGCATATATCCAATTTCTAAAGGCAGGGTTCCTATACAGACGGGATGTATATAGAGCAGAGCCACCTGTAGATGATTTAAAGGAATAGTACACCCAAAACATGATTAGCCTTCATTTTCTACTCACCTCCATGCTGAACAACACTCTGGAGTACTTTTTTGATATCTCAAAGGCATCTGGAGATCTGGGAGGCTTCTTGCTGTCTGCTGACATTCAAATAATGGAGGTCCATGGCGCCCGAGACAGAAAGGTCCATAAAAGTCCACAAAAACGTGTCAATATTCCTCCATACTGCTCGTCCAATGTAATCCAAGTGTCCTGAGTGGGTAGCATCCAGAATTTACTCGAAACGAAGTCATTTAGAATGTTTTTAGAGCATAAACAGTAGTGTATAGGATTTCCTAATAGCGCCCCCATGCGCGCTCACGATTCTACGGAAGCCGGCAGACCAAACCGGAAGAAGGTGCGCATTCAGCGTCTGGTCTGCCGATAATGCAAGCGTAGAAGAAGAAATGTGCTGTTTACCTGTGCAAAGAAAGAAACAACGAAAGAAGAATGTCTGAGGACTTCAGTGTTGAGGAAGAGCATGAGTTCTTTGCCGAGCTGAATGCGCTGGTTTGGTCTGCCGGCTTCCGTAGAATCGTGAGCGCGCATGGGGGCGCTGGAGTTTTGTTCAGCATGGGGGTGAGTAGAAAATGAAGGCTAATCATGTTTTGGGTGTACTATTCCTTTAAGTCCAGCAGTTGAATGAGTTTATTAAAAAGATAAAGGTGAAGCAACATTTTAAGCTTTATATGAAAGGAATTTTCACCTCAGAATGTAACAACAAAGGTAAATAAAATAAAACATTAGGTTGACCACCACCACATTTGCATGTTAAATAGAATACTGTTACCGTGATATCCAACCCCTGAGCTGTAGAACTATTAGTAACTGGTCCTCTCAGTGTTAGTTTAATATCTCTTGTGGAAAGTATCTGATTTTATGACCCTGTTTCATGGGCAGCAATAGTTGCTCCTTTAAGGCAATTGCTGATATCTTCACAACTTGGCATAGAAGTAACACTCCAGACATTCCACTACCAAAACTGTTTTTGTGGAGGTGAGAACACTGCTGATCTTTTATTAGCAGTGCATGATTCATTTTTCCCTGACAAAATACTAAAGAACAAAACAAGCAATACAACTTCCTCCTCTTAATGTAGTTATATAAACATGTATAATAAATTTAGGGGGTTTAGCATCACACTTTCATTTTTAAATGTATTTGCCTCTAAACAAATTTCTATACTCACCATATTTGCTTTTAGGTTTAACATGCTTTCATGTTTCTACTTAGATTAATTTTCTATTATAATAAATGTTGAACAAAATCATTACTTTTAGATAAATGTGAATAAATAGTGCTTCATTCTCTTAACTTAATGTGGTTAAAAGTCATTACTGACTTTTGAGTTACATTTATAAATGGCACCGCACAGTCTATAAAAAATTTCCAACATATAGTAATTAAATATAATTTTTTTGTAAAATACTGTTGAATAATAGAATTAGTTGTTTTGATTATCTGTGATGTGTAACGTGTGCAGACAAATTATGAATTCATAGTAAAATTATCTAGTGCTAAATTTGATAAATGAGACTTCACAAAATTGTATATAATTATTTCAGGATTTATTTCCCGTTTCCTGTGTTGAAGTAGATTCAGAAAAAAAATCTAATACTAAACATATGATTGCCTATATATATATTAAATTGTATTAAATGGCAAAAAAAAATTTAAAGCAAAAATAATTTTAGTTTTTATTTCTATTCATATTTTAATGAAGTAATGTATTTACTAAACTGTCTAAAGCCCTTTTAGATGCACACAAAAAAAACAGTTTTGTGTTTATCTTCCTAACTACCAGCAGAGGGAGACACTATATTTGTATATTTTCTTGCCAAAGCAAAACACTTATTGTTGGATTATAAATCCACCTCTTTTGAGTCCATTAGGCTAACATTAACTCCTGTTCTCTATAATGACCTGCATGTTTACACTGTTTCCTTTTTGATGAGGTGACAGCAGGTCAGCAATTAGAGGCAACCTGCCAGTAGAGCAGAGTGCAGGGTAATCTGTTGGTTTAATTAGATTTGAAGCAATCATGGCCACAGATGGGACCGATCAACGTGGATGTGTGTGTGTGAATGGGGGTGGGGGGGTAGGTGGGTGTGTGTTGCAGGGAGGAGCTTTCAGTGAGCAGACTTGGCATCTGTAGGTGCTGTGTTATGCGAGAGATGTCAGTGGAATTACGCAGCACTGTCCTTAGGTTTCAGGATTTTATTTTTTCTTGAAAAGGCAACTCAAACACAAATGGATCCATATTGGAGTCTGCATAGATACAAGATAAGTTTATTTGCTTTTAAACAGTTTTTAAATTGTTCTTAAACTTAACTAAGTCTGTATTGATGCATAAAACAATATGTAGTCTTGCTGCACCGTATGCTGAAGGATCCTAAAGCCATGTGTGCAGTCATGGATCCAAGGACTGTGCTCGTTTATCTGCTCCTCCTGGCACCGTTTTGCACCCACTCACTCGGACAGGTCTTCAACCTGACACTGTCTGTGAAGGAGGGTCTGCCCGCTAAAACCATCGTTGGAGATCTGGGAGCTGTTCTGAGAACATCCACCACCGGCTTCTTCATCTCAGAGAGCAGAGACTCTTATGTGTTTAGAGACCTGGAGATAGACGTAGACACAGGGATCATCTCCACGGCGGTGGTCCTGGACAGAGAAAGCAGAGACAAGTATGAGTTTGTAGCTGCCACTCTCACGGGAGAGGTTATAAGGGTGAGGATAGAGGTGGAGGATGTGAACGACCACTCACCTGTGTTTCCCAGTAAAAGAGTGGAGCTGGAAATCTCAGAGCTGAGTCCTCTGGGGAGTCGCTTTCAGCTTGAAGGTGCAAAAGACCAAGATGAGGGGGAGTTCAGTACTCAGGGATACAGGATTAAAGAGACTGAGGTAGAAGATTTGTTCCAGTTGGATTTTGGAATGGGATCTGAGAAGCACCACAGCTTGGATCTTGTTCTAAACAGCAAGGTAGACAGAGAGACCCAGGACTTTTTCACCTTGACCATTGAGGCTTTTGATGGGGGGATCCCAGCCAGGACCGGGACAGTCCAGGTGGACATCCGCATCCTGGATGAAAATGACAACCTTCCGGTGTTCAACCAGAGTGAATACCACACCTCAGTACGCGAGGATGCTCCGGTTGGGTCTGTCATCTCTCAGGTGCTGGCCAGTGACCATGACCTGGGCGACAACAGCAGGATCACTTATGAGATTAATAGGCGTCAGAGTGACCCAAACCATATTTTCTCCATAAATGAAACCTCTGGATTAATTTATCTCAACAAGCCACTTGATTTTGAAGCTCATCCTTTTCATGAGCTGATTGTCAGCGCCAGAGACAATGGTGCTCAGCCTGAGTACAGCAGCACCTTTGTGGGTGTCAAGGTGCTTAACATCAACGATAACAGCCCCACAATCAGTGTGCTGTTTCTCAGTGAGACGGGAGAAGCAGTGGTGTCAGAGGCAGCAGCTGTTGGAGACTTTATTGCCAGGATTTCGGTGTCAGACCCAGACTTGGAGGAGCACAGAATCACCGTTCTCCTGGAGGGAGGAGAGGGGAAGTTTACCCTAAAGCAAACAGACGATTTTCTGTATGCCTTGTGTGTTAACTCAGAGCTGGACAGAGAAGAAAAGGATCTCTATGAGCTGAAGGTGCAAGCATCCGATTTTGGAAGCCCTCCTCTGAGTAGTGAGATGGTTTTCATCCTGAAGGTGTCTGATGCTAACGACTGCCAACCAGTCTTTGAACAGGATGTATACACTGTAAGCATTGCTGAGGACGCTCCTCCTGGTAGCTCCCTACTACAGATCAAGGCCCAAGATACTGATGAAGGCGTCAACTCAGAAATCAGATACTCCATCTTGAAATCACACCAGGAGGGCCTGATCAGCATTGACCAGGAATCTGGTCTGGTCATTACAGCTGCAGATTTTGACAGGGAGACTCAGATGGAGGTGTGGTTCCTGGTCCTGGCAGAAGACGGAGGGGAGCCAACATTATCTGCTACTGCTACAGTTACAGTGCTGGTGGAGGACGTTAACGACAATGAACCAGTGTTCCAGCAGCAGCTGTACAACGTGTCCATACCAGAACACTTGGACATTGGAAGCTGCTTTCTACAAGTATGTTGGAGAATTTGTTACCATAAATGTTAACCCAGTAAATGATAGAAATCTAAGATTTAACATAACAACACAGGGTTTGCATTTAACCTATCCCCTTGGGAAGCAGTGGGCTGCCATTGTGCAGCACCCGGGGAGCAGTGTGGGGTGAAGGGTCTTGCTCAGGGAGCTAGAGTGGTAGTGGGGCTTGAACTCAGAACCTCTTGGACCCAAGTACAATGCCCTAACCACTAGGCCACCACCACTACATTACCAGCAGCTCTGTGTTTCTGTACAAAATATCAGAAATCAACATTCAAGTCAAAAAATTGGTCTTAAGAAAGCCACTTTTCTAAAAGTTTCAACCTCCAACCTTCAGTAAAAGGCTTTGAATTGAAGCTAAGGATTCTTGCAGTTAAATCCATTTTGTTTGCATCAAACGACCTCATCTGTTGAGTGGATTATTTCTACTCTTGAGACAAAAGTAGCTCTGAATCTGTAAAGACAAAGGCATTGTGTTTTTCAGCCACAACACACACAACATGCAGGCTTTCAGCTCAGCTTTCAGGCCTTAGTATGACAGACGTGATGCTCGGTGCCACTCTCCTGCAGCCTGGCACCAATGACAAAAGAACCCTCTTTATTTAGGAGCACATTATTTATTTGTTATCTTATGTCTTTTTTTCTAAGCCTCTCCTGAATGAACTTTTGTTTCAGATCAAACAAAGCAAATAATTAATTTCTATAAATAAGTAAATCATTCTTTTATTGAGGAAAATAATGTTGAAAATAACTGATGAAAAGTTAGAACTTGTCACCTTTTTTGCCCCATATATATTTATTCAAAGAGCATTGTCCTATCAGTGGTTCGGAGCCACAACGTGCTATAGTACATGTTTCAACAGACTTTGGCCTGATGTCCTTAAAAGATCATGTGATCAGAGTTCATTCATTCTGAGCTGTTATCGTCTTTATGGCCTGAAAGTGATCTCCCTCACTGTAAAATTCGCTCTTGTCACGGTCGCAGGAAGACATGAAAGAAACTGTCGGTGTTTAGGAGCTTTTTTCTTACTCTGATGATGTTTGCTGTCGTTTGAACTACATGGCGATGGCACTCCTCGCCCTTTGACATCTAGAGATCGGTTTTACGCTTTTATTATGTTTGACTTCGCTAACAGAATAATCTATTTTATGAGTCACACTTACAGGAAATGTGAATACTGACAGTTACCAGAACCTGGCAAAAACCATGCTTTGATAAGAACTCCTTTTAACACAATACTTTTTTTAATATAACCATAAAAATTAAAAGATATAATTTTACTGTTTTATGAATAAATTGGTTAATTAAACGTATACATTCCATAGAAAAAGTTTTGATTAATTCACTGTTTTTTGGTTTTGTTAAAATATATATTGCTTTTAAATATCAAGTTGTTAAAATCCTAGGACAGAACTTTTAACTTGTGAAAACCTATTTTTCACAACATCCGGTCTGTGATTGTGGTGTAACTACCAGCCTCCCTCTTCACAATGTTCATGCTTCAATTCGACTAAACTACGCTAGCTGCCATGTCCTGACCACAGCCCAGCTTATACCCACGCTAAGCCCCCCCACATTATCCCCACACTTAGCTCTGCCGCAAAGAGTCTCTTGCCAAAACTAGACATGCACTGATACATATTTTGCTATGTGAGTAAAGGATTTAGCCTTAAATTAAACATTGTTAAAAATAAGTGACAAATTTACACAGATATAAATGTACTTTATTATTATTATTTATTAACAAATAAGCAGCAGTAAATCATATAAGTCCAATTAAAGTGCACTGGATTGGATTACAGCATCGCTGCATCTCTAGCACCGACTAGTTAAAATGTATGTAGGGCTGGGATGATAGAAAATAGAAATTTAGAATCAGAATCAAGTTAATTGCCAAGTAGGTTTTGCACTTACAAGGAATTTGACTTGGTATTAATGGTGCAGACAAAATATATTTATATATCTATACAGAATACAGAATCTATAGCTATATACAATATCAAACATACATTATACTACATACAATATATAGTACCGTATATAGCTATATACTATATACACAGTAGATTGTGCGTTAATGTAACGCAGGAGGTCTGGAGATGCTACGTTGGTGTAGCTTGTAGGTCATGAATGAGGGAGAAAGGCAGTGTCAGTATAACAGGGTTCTCTGAGCCTTGTTTATCAGACTGGTAGCAGATAGAAAGAAACTGTTCTTGTGGCATAAGGTTTTGGTCCTGATGGACCGCAGCCTCCTGCCAGAGGGCAGTGTCTGAAATAGTTTGTGGCTGGGGTGCGAGGGACCAGCCACAATATTCCTCAGAGTCCTTCCTCAGAATCTTCCTCAGAGTCCTTCCTCAGAGTCCTTCCTCAGAGTCCTACCTCAGAGTCCTTCCTCAGAGTCCTTCCTCAGAATCTTCCTCAGAGTCCTTCCCCAGAGTCCTTCCTCAGAATCTTCCTCAGAGTCCTTCCTCAGAGTCCTTCCTCAGAATCTTCCTCAGAGTCCTTCCTCAGAGTCCTTCCTCAGAATCTTCCTCAGAGTCCTTCCTCAGAATCTTCCTCAGAGTCCTTCCTCAGAATCTTCCTCAGAGTCCTTCCTCAGAGTCCTTCCTCAGAATCTTCCTCAGAGTCCTTCCTCAGAGTCCTTCCTCAGAATCTTCCTCAGAGTCCTTCCTCAGGGTCCTTCCTCAGAGTCCTTCCTCAGAGTCCTTCCTCAGGGTCCTTCCTCAGAGTCCTTCCTCAGAATCCTTCCTCAGAGTCCTTCCTCAGAATCTTCCTCAGAGTCCTTCCTCAGAGTCCTTCCTCAGAGTCCTTCCTCAGAGTCCTTCCTCAGAGTCCTTCCTCAGAGTCCTTCCTCAGAGTCCTTCCTCAGAGTCCTTCCTCAGAGTCCTTCCTCAGAGTCCTTCCTCAGAGTCCTTCCTCAGAATCTTCCTCAGAGTCCTTCCCCAGAGTCCTTCCTCAGAATCCTTCCTCAGAGTCCTTCCTCAGAGTCCTTCCTCAGAATCTTCCTCAGAGTCCTTCCTCAGAGTCCTTCCTCAGGGTCCTTCCTCAGAGTCCTTCCTCAGAATCCTTCCTCAGAGTCCTTCCTCAGAGTCCTTCCTCAGAATCTTCCTCAGAGTCCTTCCTCAGAGTCCTTCCTCAGAGTCCTTCCTCAGAGTCCTTCCTCAGAATCTTCCTCAGAGTCCTTCCCCAGAGTCCTTCCTCAGAATATTCCTCAGAGTCCTTCCTCAGAGTCCTTCCTCAGAATCTTCCTCAGAGTCCTTCCTCAGAGTCCTTCCTCAGAGTCCTTCCTCAGGGTCCTTCCTCAGAGTCCTTCCTCAGAATCTTCCTCAGGGTCCTTCCACAGAGTCCTTCCTCAGAGTCCTTCCTCAGAGTCCTTCCTCAGAGTCCTTCCTCAGGGTCCTTCCTCAGAGTCCTTCCTCAGAATCTTCCTCAGGGTCCTTCCTCAGGGTCCTTCCTCAGAGTCCTTCCTCAGAGTCCTTCCTCAGAATCTTCCTCAGAGTCCTGGAGGCGTATAGATCCTGAAGAGATTTAAGATTGCAGCCAGTCACCGTTTCTACAGACTGGATTACACACTGCAGTCGATAGAATAGAATAGAATAGAATAGAATAGAATAGAATAGAATAGAATAGAATAGAATAGAATAGAATAGAATAGAATAGAATAGAATAGAATAGAAAAATCCCTTTATTCACCCACAATGGGGAGATTGTGTTGTTACCGCAGCAAAAGTGGTCACACAAATGTGGACCTTAAAAAGTGTATAAAAATAACAGAATAAGTGGCAGAGTTAAAAAAACTCAGTTGTTACACTTTAACTACTTACTTTTTTAAATCATTTAGAGTCTGAACCAATTGATTCTTTATTCTTTGTGCTGCTGCAATAAGGCAGCAAGAAAAACTACATTTTCTATATGCTTTTTCATTAAAAGGGTTTTGCATCTCTTTAATTTGCTTCACTCTGTATCTGGAGCTATCTTTCCTGGGTATTTATAATTAGGACTATGTGTTTACTCCAATGGAGCAAAATGTAATAAGAGGAAAGAAAAATCTAATTATTTTAAATGCCTCAGATAGAACAGAAAAATTCTCTACCACACAAATATCCATCCATCCATCCATCCATCCATCCATCCATCCATCCATCCATCCATCCATCCATCCATCCATCCATCCATCCATCCATACATCCATCTTTTTCCGCTTCTGGGGTCGGATTGTGGGGGTAGCAGCATCAGTTGGGAGGCTCAGACTTCCTCTCCCAAGCCACTTGGGCCAGTTCCTTCGGGGGAACCCCAAGGCGCTCCCAGGCCAGCTGAGAAACATAGCCCCTCCAGCGTGTTCTGGGTCTCCCCCTGGGCCTCCTCCTGGTGAGACGTGCCTTGAACACCTCACCAGGGAGAAGTCCAGGAGGAGTTAAGTGGACCCACACAAATATATTTTATATAAATAGTAAGTAGTCAGAAAAATATATGAATAAACAACAAACGATTTTGCTTGCCTTTGTGTTAGGTTGTGGCTACTGACGAAGATAGCCCTGAGTTTGGTGCTCTACTCTACTCTTTGTCTGATGGCTTTGACAGCCAGGAAAAACATCCTGTGTTCCACATCCATCCACACTCAGGAGAGCTGTGCGTGTCCAAGGACATTGATAGAGATATTGGGCCAGCTTTCCATGACATTCTGATCAAAGCAGAAGATCCAGTAAGTTGACTTTACACTATAATCATGAGATGATATATAAGCTTTCTTTAATTTTTAATGATCAGTTTCCTCATAACTGCTTTTTCGCTCTCTCATTTAGGGAGGTCTAAGTGCTCAGACATATGTGCACATTGAAATACAAGATTTAAACGACAACCCTCCAGTGTTCAGCCCTGAAGAGTACACCGTGAGCGTCAGCAGCTATGCACCACCTGGTACCGAAATTCTTAACGTTATTGCTACAGACCGAGACTCCGGGAGGTTTGGCCAGATAACCTACAAAATTAAACCAGGAGACATGTCTAGTTTATTCACACTGGATTATCAAACAGGTAGGGTATATTAATGCTGTTTAAGAACAAATTGTATCTCTGCAGATGTTTTGGCCCATTGGTTAGAAACATGTAAATTGAGCCCTACTGTAGGTAATGTAGTTCATATTATCCCCACCATAAATACCTAAGTGGCTTTATATTGGTAAACCTTTGCTACTAAGTGTAATCCATCTTTCTACCACTTGAATTGACTTTATCCCTTTAAGACCGCTCATAGAACCTGTGTCCCCAACTGGTTTTGCTAACATGTATTTAGTATTAAGTGAGTGCCATACAAGAAGCCTAGGGCCTAGGCTCATCCACCTAAGGGAAAAACCTTATGTAGCCTGTGTGCTGATGTTAGCTGGGTTATTTAACTTTCAGCTTTTCGTTCTTTTTTTATTTAAAAATGCTGTTGTTGGAACTACAAGGCATAATACATGTTTTTATGTCAAGTCCTACAAAAATCCACAAGAACATAACTTTTGTTGGTCTTGTGAAACCATTACAACAAAAGAAAAGAAAAATAAAATTGCATCAGGCTCAGAAAAAAATCATTTGGAGGAAACTGCAGATCTCAATGTCAAAATGGTCTTCCAGTGACAGTGGAATGACAATGGAAACTCATAATTAAAATTGGTGGTTGTAGTAGATTTTGTTTAAAAATCTGGAAATGTCTTTTTATAAAATATTCTCTTCCTACTCTGTTGCTCATGTACTTCAGAGAGTTTAATGTACACTTTAAACATTTCTTGACATCGTTTGCGTTCATCATCTTTACTACATGATCAATTTTTTCTTGGGCTTGCTTTTTACTATTTATTTTTTTACTAATCTTAAGCAGTGTCCCATGATTTAACAACATAATGGTTATGCAGTCTTCTACTTGAACCCAAGAAACCTGTAGGTCGTTTTTCTAATAGCATTTTTGGTTCCTGAGCATCACCACTATAATATTGGAGTATGGATGTTTTTGTGACCAAGCATCTCTTGGTCTCTGTATGCATTACCGCATACTGTGCTCTGTGGCACAGTATGCGGTAATGCTAAGGTATTCAGGCTATTTAGACTATGTAGAAACCAAATAAAACTAGAGATGAAACCAAAATTATTAAGAGAGGGAAATAATATATAAGTTTCAGAAAAAATGTATTTTGTACATTGTGTGAGAATCATAGTATTCGGTGTGAGGATTTCATAATTTACTATATTTCAAATGACCAACACTCATTGGAATTTTTGTTCTGTGTCTCAGAAGGATCATAGTAAACTCTTTTATATTAGACAGTGTGGTTGGATGCAAGAGTTCACTGTGCAGCTGGACAGTCATTCGGTTTGAACTTATGTAGTCTTTGCTGTTGTGATCTTGGGCAAGACACTTCACCTGCATTTCCTACAGATGCTGGTCAGAGGGCTCCATGGCGCCTCTTTACGGCAGCCTTGCTTCCGTCAGTGAGCCCCAGGGCAACTGTGGCTACAGTGTAGCCTGCCACTATAAGTGTGTGAATGGGGGAATGACAATCTAATTAAAGTGCTTTGTACTCCCCTGATATAGAAAGGTGCTATATACTGTAAGGGCAGACCATAACTGTTTCTATACAAGTTGAAAACAGATGCAACTTTTAAGTTGTTTAGCTATTAGTTTTCCTTACTGGATTGTATTCTGCCTTGTAGTCGCCTGTAAATATATTTGAGCTCACATAATTAGCTGGCTCCTTTTGTTGCTTAACCACTCAGAGCGTCTGCAGCAGTCTTACCAAAATGTGGACGTGCCTCAAAGACGAGATGGAACCAGAACTAATGGACTCTGAATCTCTTTTTTTTTTGTCTTGTGATGTTGTTTGTATGAATGAATTAATCTCTACTTAGAGACTTTGACTCGGCAGAGGGGCTTAAATATGCTTTACGGTTACAAGTAAAATTGGAAAAAGATATACATGCTTTGATTTTGATTTTATTATTCCATATGTTTTTTCTCCAAACTGTTAAAAAAAAGGATACACATATTTTTATTTGGTCATCAGACTGGTTAATATTTAATTCAAGACTTTTTCTTTTCTTAGCCTTGAATTAACAAGCTAGGATTTTTAGCATCTATTTTGTTTTGTTTGCTTATTGCTTGTAAAAACAGCTTTAATTGAATAGATGCCTTTAGTGTGCTTTTCGCTTATTTTCACTAAATGCAGTTCTGGCAATGATTAAACTGTTACACAATTATGACTGTCTTAGTTTTATAACATATTGGATAGAAACTTGTTATGTTTACTCGATGATTTGATGTTGTTTATTGTGCATTTTGATTACATTTTAAAGGTGTTTAAAAATAAATTTTCTCACTTAAGAGTTGGTACAGCTTTTGTTGTGAATATTGTGTTTATGCTTCTTTTTATGATAGGATTTAAACATTAGTCTGCATGGCTTTTAAATTTGATTTGTCACATAGATTCACTTGTTTTAAGTAACCAACTTGGGTGGCAGTTGTTTTCAGGGATAAACACCAAGTTAACTGATCTAAACCCCCATGATAAGATTCCAAGTGTCACTACTCAGCAGGGGTGGAGCACCAAGATTAGAAGCTTTGGATTACAGCAAGTGTTAAACCAGATTTGTCCACAACTGCTGTACAACTCCGAAAAAAAAACATAAAATTTCTAGAATGAAAATAAATATGGTATTATCTTGTGCTAAATAGGCTTTTAAGCAACTGAAAATGAATCCTTTTCCCGAACCTATAGCAGTTGTTTTCACTGCAGTTTTTTTTTTTTTTCAAATTAAAGAATTAAAAACAACACTGAAATCAATTTATGTTAAGTCCATATGTTTTTTTCAGATTTCCAGTTATAGTAATTTTGAAAATAAAAATCAAACCTCCAACAACAAATAAATCAGATTTTTATTCTTTATTCTATTACAGGGATGCTCTTTTTGAACACTTCTCTGACTTACTTGGGTGCAGCCAGCATGAAGCTCCTCATAACAGCACAGGATGAAGGTGGCTTAACTTCAGCCAAACCTGCAGAAGTCACTATCAATGTTCTCCAAAGTGCTCAGGCTCCAGCTGTGTTTCAGAGGCTGCGCTACACATTTACAGTTCCTGAAGATGCACCAGTGGGAACATCTGTGGGAACTGTGAAGGCCAGTAACCCAACCGGTGAGTGCATCTTTACCTAAATTACAAACAATAAAACAGACAGTAAATTTTCATAATCAGGTAGAGTAACTCAAATTTCACTTGGAACAGACATTCTGGATGACAGAATTGAATTGCCTGTAGAGTTATTTCCTTCACCAATCTGACACTGCTGGTATACAGTAAATACAACAGACATGGTCAGTATCTACCACAAGCCAAGCACAACCGCTTTGTCATTAAAAAGGTTTTTTGAGACGGTATGTTTTAAATGTGCATACCAGCACTATCATAGGTGCAAACCTATTAAAGAAGCAGTAAACAATAATTCCTTATGTTTGACAGAAGAAACTTAAATAAGTGATGTGAAGAACTACCGATATCTTCATAGATGGAATATGGTATGACATTCACACACTATCTCTCTGCGCTCGACTGCAGTCTCATGTTTACCATCCAGTGCAGGCCATACATTCATGTAAGTCCATGTGACTAGCTTCTCCTGATAGCCCCTCCCTGCCCAGAGAGAACAGCATAGCATGGGGTTAATATAGCGTAGAAATGTTGAAAGTTGAAGTTTTCTTGCTCACAGCCTTATAAAGTTATTAGTTACTTTACTTCTTCACTAGACATGTTCCTCCAAAAGTTAATGCTGTTTTGCTGTGTATTTCCAAATATGCACATACAACATGACAGGTGAGAAGTTGGGGGGTCAGGGCTGAGATACCGCTGGAGTGGAGATAGAGAGAGGCATTGCTTGTCACACATTTTGTTTTGGTCTACAGACTCTGAGAGGAGACACACAGACTTCTCTACCTAGACACTTCCACCAGGTCTTCTGTTGTTGGTGGAAGAATTATACTGTATATTTTATTATACAGCATTTATTGGTCCTTAAGAAATTTAAGGCTACCCATGTTTTGAGTATAATTTCCTGATGGTTTCTCAGCAGCTATTGCTGAGCGTTCGCAGTTAAATAGCTACCCCCACTAGACAGTCATTTAAGGCTGGCTAATGAACTCCAAGACTAACTCTTCAGTTCAAAATGAAAACAGCAGGGGTGGGCCAACATTAAGCTCTTTGCTTGTTTCAGTGGCTTGTATTCCGTGTTGAGGTGCAACATGGACACTGAGGAGATTATTGGGATTATTGGAATCTTCTGACCTTTAATGTAATTAATGTACTGTGTGTCTGTGTATAAGTGTGGATGGGTGTGGATGTGTGTGTGTGTGTGTGCACCTGTGTACAACAGCTAGATATCAATTTGACCTTTGAAATGTACACTCTCTGTCTCTTAACAATATTACCTGAACGAAACACTGTCAGATTGACATCAATCAGAAATCTCTGCATTGTTTGTGGGGCTTTTGTGGCATTTTCTCATGATAATATAAAGTTTTCATGATACATTTAAATATTGCCATTTGTTGATGATCTCTAAATGAAAACATACAGGTGTGCAGCTGTGGCTCACAAAATAGGCTAAATCTTAAAGTTAGTTAGTAATAGTTATAGATAGATTTTTAGCCAATATCTTGTCCACAAAGTTGATGTGTTAGATGTAAAGAAAATGGGTAAATCCACGGATCTAAGCAAGTTGTACAACGGCCAAAGCACGATGGCTGGATGGCAACTGGTTCAGTGTATCTCTGGTACTGCTGCCAAGCCTTATACAGGCCCAAAAGTACTGAAGGCTGGCCCTTTAAGACTGATCCAAAAGATGAGCTACTGTACAGGTGCTAATAGAAATGTTTCAAAATAAGTGCATGACAATTTGTTCCTTATGTGGCTGCATTTGCCTTTTATGTTGTCATTGTGGGCATGCAATCATATTGTTAATTCTAACCATTGTATTTTGGTAGAGTAGTGGGGGTAAGGAATTGCAGGTGTGTTAGTTTAAATCCAGGACTAGATTTAATAATTAAAGGAAGCCATAAACTATAGGATAAAACCAAAAACTTTTGGCATACGCTTCTCTGTAAAAAATAATATTTTTTATTTATAAGTTGCTTCAAAGCAGTCTAGATCACCAGGCTTTTAACTGTTTTTTCAAAGTCTTTTTGCACATGGATTTCTTTTTTTTATTTACTTTCTCATTAGTTGTACTTGATTTAGTTATACTTTTTACAATTATCTTATTTGAACAAATTGTGTCTTTGTGACAGTCTGTTTGTAAAGAAACCTTCAAAAACCTTTTTGCACACTTTTTAAAACCCAAATGAAACCCTTAAATTCCTAGTTGCCTTTTTATACTTGTTACTAGATCAGAGATTAGTGGCATGAGAAGAACTGTAAATAAATTTGTTGGATAAACTGATCTATCATTGTTTGTGATTGTTGATCAAAATACTGTAAAAGGGACTAAATAAAAAAGTACATACTACTTTTTGTTTGTTTTTACAGATGCTACAGAGTCTGTTTCTTACAGAATCTCTTCCGGGGACCCTCACCATTGGTTTTCGGTACATCCAAAGTCGGGTATTATCAGTACCATTAAACCTCTTGACCATGAGTCTCAGCAATATGCCTTGCTATTTCTTCAGTCATATACTGACAAATCTCCAATTTACGGCACTACTCAAGTCAACATTACCATTAACGATGTCAATGACAATGCCCCGGTGTTCCCTAAACGAAGAGATACCATCATGGTGTCTCTTAATACTCGGCCTGGGACAGTGCTGTTTATTGCTCATGCACATGACTATGACAGTGGTACCAACGCTGTGGTAAAGTATCATCTAAAAAATAGCAGAAGCGAAGTGTTCTCCATTGACCCCAACCTTGGAACACTTAGACTTAATAAGAATTTGCAAGTCAGCCGTCAAAAAAGCTACAACGTAGATATTGTGGCTGAGGATGAAGGAGATCCTCCTCTGAGCTCTACATTTGCCCTCACAGTCAATATTGACCAAACAGCTGCAGATGAAAGCCTGGCCTTTGAAACTCTGGTCTACCAGGTGGAGATAGGCGAAGGCTATCGCAAAGACTCTCGCATCATCCAGGTGAGGGCGCACCGCACTCGAGGATCTCGCTCTTCACACTCAGACCTCACTTACTCCTTAGAAGCAGAAGCTGGGTCCCCTCCCCCTCCTTTTCGCATTCACCCAAAGACAGGATGGTTGTATCTCTCCAGCAATCTAGACTATGAAACAGAGTCAAGATATTGCTTTCAGGTGTTGTCCACCTACACAGAGGCCTCATTGGCAAATATCACGGCAACAGCAACTGTGATTGCACTGGTACTAGACATCAATGACAATCCCCCTGTGTTTGTTAGCGATGTTTACCACTTCACTGTATCAGAGGGGACATCTCCACAAGGCTTAGTGGGAACAGTCAGGGCCAAGGATGAGGACTCTGGGAAAAACAGCCAACTGTCATACATCCTTCTGTCAGATGGCAAATACTTCCGCATTAATAGTAAAACAGGTAAACAAAAGTTTAATTACCAACGCCATGTTGTACTTCCATGACACCTCTCTCCACTAACCACTATTCTCTCATCCCTTATAGGTGAAATCATCAACTGGGTGGCACTGGACCGGGAGCAGCACAGCCAGCACAGCCTGACAGTGATGGTGACAGACCAGGGTCACCCTCGTCTCAATGCCACCGCCAGCATTCATGTCCTGGTCACTGATATCAACGACAACTCTCCACAGTTTAATCATCTGCCTTCAAGCAAAGAGCTAAACATTCCTGTAAGAATTTCTTGTTGACAAAAATATGAACTGCCATAGTTTATTTCTATATTTCAATTAATTCATTTGGCACGTGCCTTCTTTATTTCTTTTATTACTTATGGTCTTAATCAAACTACTAATGATCTTGTTATAACATTTCCTTTTGATTTACTTTTAATGTAGGGCAACGTACTTCAGAGCCCTTTTATCTGTTAGCACCGTACACATTTAACAATAATAACTAGTTTTATCCTCTAATATTTTATTTTATTGAGTTTACCAGTATTTTGGATATAATTATAAATTATTTGAGTCTTACTTGTTTATGTGTACTAAAAATCATTTGTATTTCCTATTTTCTCAGCCTCTAATATTAATACTAATTATTTGATTGTCCATTAAATTAAAGTTCTTTTAAAGTCCATCCTTTGGTAATGTCTTCAAGGTCCTTTATAGTTGTAAAGAAAAAGCGGAAATTCGCTTACTGGGGAGAATGACCTTATGATGCATTTATTGAATTAAAATGACTGTATTCAGTTTTAATATGGTCTTCTTTGCAGATATGGGCCGGCATACCTGCAGGATTCTTAGTGGCCAATATGTTTGCCAAAGACTTGGATGCTGGAGAGAATGGAACAGTTACTCATACACTAGTAATCCGTGAGTTGTATATGTGTTCCCTTACCTTAAATACCGTCACTAAGGACCTGAATGTTATTGTCTTCTACTGCTCTCTTAGTTGGATCGGAGGAAGAAGATTCTCTCAAACACTTTGAGATTGACGGTAAAAGTGGAGACATAAGAACTACGCAGTTTTTCAGTCAGGGAACTGAACCCTTTTACACACTGAAAATAACTGCCAGGGACGGCGGAGCCCCATCTCTGGAGGATACTGCTGTGGTTCATATACAGGTAACATCCATTCATCAAGGTTTGGATTTTTGGTTATGGCTATTTTCAGTACCTTGCAAATTGTCTGTCAGATTGTGTTAAGTTACAACCAGATGATTTTATGCAGGTTCTATTTGACAGACACACACTTAGTAGTAATTATTTAAAAGTGAACGTTAGGCATGTTGTTTAAATATTTCTGACATCTCTAGTGGGCAAGTCAAGTGTCTTTGATAAGGGAAAAGAAAGAAATGACCCCTTTAAAGTCCCACAGTGGGAAAATGTGTCCTCTGCTTTCAACTCAGCCTTTGCATTGCAGTCTGTTGTTTTCCCTTTCCTGTTATTTCCATAGCAGCTAAATAAGATCTGATAAGCGACATTTAGGATTTAGGTCTGGACTGAAAGCTGATCATTCTAGCATGATAGTATATTTGATACAAAAAATTTCCATTGCAGCTCTTATTGTAGGTTTAAGGTCACTGTCCTGCTGGAAGTTGAACTACTGAGACATTTTCTTCAAGGAAAATGCTCTGCTTTTAACTACATCCATCTCACAATCAACTAATTTGGTCAACATAATGTTACAACCATGTTTTTAAGTAGGAGTTCTGTGGTGTGGCGTTTTGCATAATCTGTACAGAATTAGTTCTACATGTTCTCTGTCTCTCCTGTGAGCTTTCTTGTAAATTATCAACAAGACTTTTCATTCTCAGCTGCATTCACACTGAGTCTTGAATCTCAAATGCATTTAGTTACACTAAATTTTAGTATGGATGTTGAGAGTAAAGAGGGTTTAACACAGACTAACCTCATTTTGTAGATTTTTGGGTCTTAAAAACCTTTTTTAAAATCATCAGTAAATATTCAGTTTTTTGTCTACAACTCAGTTTTATAGACAAAGAAATCTAGAATATTTTATGCTGGTGTTTTACAAAAAAGCAAACTAAATCAATTAACATACACTGTACAAAATAAGAAAGGAGCAAGTTTAGGAAAAAGTAATTGTTTTCTTTGAAGTTTTCATGTTTTTTTTATTATGTTTTGCTCGCTAGAAAAAAATGTATTTTATTTGTGCTTTTTTCTTGTAGGTTTATGGATTGGAGGATCAGCATGGTCGCTTAGAGCACCAAGCACTGAGGTATTTCTCAGTGAGGGAGGACGCCGAGCCTGGAACTGTCATTGGATCTGTTAGTGTTTCAGATAAAAGTGGATTTCAGTACACCATCACAGAGGGAGATGGGAGTATTCACTTTGGAATAGACAGCACGTCTGGGGATGTCTTCGTCAACCAGCCGCTGGATTATGAGTCTGCCAGACAGTACTTCCTGGTGGTTCGAGCTGAAGATGTCGGCCCATCTGTTAGTGTAAATGCCTCAGTGTTGGTGAGCGTGGTGGTGGAGGACGTAAACGACAACACACCTTGGTTCCCTGATAAACTCCTGATGTTTGGTCTGAGGGAAGATGCAGCAGTGGAATTTCTGGCCTTTGCTTTCCATGCCAGAGATGCTGATGGGACTTTCCCAAACAGTGACCTTCGTTACACTCTGACCTTTGACCCCGAAGTCAGTGGGTCACCCCCACACTTCCCTTTTCAAATTAACCCATATACAGGCGCAATGACAGTTGCAGCACCGTTAGACCGCGAGAGCACTCCGACTTTTGTTTTCACAGTAACCGCCACAGACCAGGCAGAGGCAATAGAGGAGCGTAAACAGACATCAGTGACGGTTCAGCTCTTCCTGCTGGATGTAAATGATAACCGGCCTGTGTTCGTGTCCACTGACTCAGTCCAGCTGATGGAGGATACAGAGGTGGGGAGTTTGCTTCACCATTTTCTGGCTGTAGATGGTGATCAAGGTGAAAACGGAATGGTCTCCTACTCCATAATGGCTGGAAACAAGAGAAGGTTCTTCACACTGGAGGAGAAAACTGGTTTGTTTGTTTTTGGTCAAAGCAATTATTTAAAAGAAGGAATGACTTAGATGGACCCAAGTGGTAGAATTATTGTGATAAATAGATATTTATGCTTGAAGAAAAAACAGAAAATACTTGAGACTGGGATGTAGGTTTGACTTTAATTTACGGGTCCGTGAACTGAGCATTTTAATAATGTCAAAACCAGGAATCTGTAGAACCTGATTGAATGCTGAGGAGGCAATTGCACCTTATCTGATTAAGGTGTTTTGAACCAAGGACATGTCTAAATGTAGCTGGACATTAGTCAAAACACACAGTTAGAGCAACAATAGAACGGTTTACATCAAAACATAGTCATGTGTTAGAATAGACTAGTCGAAGTCAAACCTAAACAGACTTTACAGGCTGTAGCAAGAATGGCTCATTATTGTTAACAGATTATCTCCATCTAATCTGAGTTATATACATTTTTAAAATGAAAATGTATTAAAAAAAACAGAATTAACAATAGCTGAAAGGTTACTTTCTAAAATCTGCATGTTATATGCAGTTAATTATAGTCCTACAAATGCTGACTTTAGATATTACCCTTCTTTTAAACAGACCCTACAGAATAAAGTTTTTTTAGTTGTGTTTTAATTCTTCTGAATGAAAACATATGAATACTTTGCAAAATTATGACTTTACTCCCTAAATATTATCACTCCTACAGGGTTTTAACTTGTTTTTCTTATTATCTTTAGGCCTCTTGTTTCTCTCTGCTCCTTTGGACTATGAGACGCAGCGTTTCCACCGTCTAATTGTCAGGGCTTCTGATCAGGGCATCCCGTCTTTGTCCTCCACCCAGACTCTGACAGTGGAGGTGAGAGATGTTAATGATCAGCCCCCAGTCTTCAGTCAGGCCACCTATATTACCAGTGTGGTGGAAAATAAAGACCCTGGGGAGCCTGTATTCAGAGTTTCAGCCTCTGATATGGATTCAGGTAATGATTATAACATATTGATATAAAGTTTTCTCTTTGTAAACTATTAATATTTCACTAATAGTTCTCCAATCTTGCTGCTGGACATTAGTGACAATTTTGACATAAATTTGACATAAGTCCATTCAACCAGGGAAAATTGAGGATAATTTAATGATCTCACTATTGCAGGATGTTATTGCCTATGAACGTTATATTTCTAACAGGGCCAGATTTATAACTTTTTCTTTTAAGTATATTTTATATGTGAATAAAAAACAAATCAGCACACTTGAGATTATTTTAAACTGTTTACTTGCAGAAATGTCCAAAGAAAGAAAAATGTTTCCCATTTTAATTCCTATTTACTTTCATTGGTGTCAGAAAAAATAAAAGGAGAAATACATTTTCTTGAGGAAATTACCCAGTTTGGTTTTCAATTTAGGAACCTAATTTAATTTTTTTTACTTGTAAAACTGTCATCCACAGTTTTTTTAGTATTTAAACCTGAAGTTTAGTAAACGATATAATAGCAGAAATACAAATCCTTAAACGTCTAATATGTACAGTTTTTTCTCATGTACTTTGTTAAAAGAGAATAGTTTATTCACATATCAAACATATATATTATAATTAATATTTTAATACATGTATCATTCCAAAGCGGATGTTAAAAAGTTTTCTGAATGGAAATTGCAGTACTTCTGGAAGGTCGCTAGATGGCAGCAGCTGCTTGGTAACCTGAAGCCTTACAGCCAAAAGTTTAGATTGACTCATAACACTCAAAAACCTAATCCCCTCTAACATATTAGTAGCTTAACACATATATTTTACTATTTTTATTCTGTTTAGTATTTTAAAATGTTATAAAGTTTTCTATTATGGTATTAAGTCGGATTGACTAATCAGCATAAAAGCATTTTAGTAATGGTTTGCTTCATTTTTAGTATTTCTTTTTAAGTTGAAATTTATCAAGAGATTTCTCTATATATCCTTTAATCAGGTTAACTTTCAACACTAACGCTTATTTTACACCGTATTAAATCTAATTCACATTTACTTTATTTTTAGTCGTTTTTTCAGCGCTTCAGTCCAGTTTATTTGAACATGTTGTGAAGCCATTCTCCAGATTCCCATTCTGTCTCATCACTTTGACAGTTGGAGTCTTTTTAAATGTTGAAGGTGGAGGTTGTGCAGCAGAGGGTGGGGAGGGGTTGACTTGAACTAACATTCCTGTGAGTGAGAATTGTCCAAGAACAGCAAGCACACTGCTCCTCTGGGAGACCCCAAAGGTCCTCTCTCATGATGATTGCTGTAATCCAAGCCATCTGTGCCAATAGGAGCTGTTTTTTTTTTCACGTGTCTCCGCAGATTCACTCTGTCCAAAGTTCTGGCTAACCTCCCACAACCTTATTTGATTATTGATGCCTGTGATGGTCTCCTAAGTCTCTTCACCATGTCTGATGTCTGCGGCAGTTCTACACAGACAGACCCCTCTTCACTGTTTAAGTTTAGGTTAACCGTAATTTAATATAATTATTCTATTGCAGTGTTAAGCAACTATATAAACAAAAAGAAAGCAAATGAGAGAAAAAGCTGCAAAAACTTTTAAAGAAAACGTCTGCAAGATCTTTGATTTTAAGAAAGAGCTGCTTAAAAATAAAACATACTCTGAGGTCTCTACAAGGGATAAGACACACAAGCATCTTGATTGATTTAAGCCATTCATCGGTCTATTGCTAAAGACAAAGCTGTTTAAAATCCTGTATCCTTCATCCAGAAGACAATGCTGTGGTGTGGTATAGTCTCCTGCCAGGCCCTGGCTACGAGTTCTTTAGCATCAACCCACATACCGGTCTGATCACCACTACGTCCCACCTTGACAGAGAAAAGGAGCAACATTTTATCCTCAGAGGTACAGCACTCTACTCTTTTCAAACACTGAGGAGCTTATCTTAAAGATTCGAGAAGAAGAGAGTTAACCCTTTGCCTGAGAATCAACACTGCTCATGAGTAAAGTTCTTTGACTGAAATGTTACTATTACGTTATCCGTGCATTATCCTTTAAATGATGTGTTTCTGTAAACATGTTTGTATCTGTTTCTCATTTTTAACCCCTTTTCATACCACAGTAAAGACACCCCTCTACAAGAGGGTAAACCGATGCTACAGGCTGGTTTATAATAAAGGAACTTTAAAGGTGTTGAACTGTATACTGTAGATCCAGCCATGGCCAACTACACCACAGAACCTCCAGCCTCTTGTTTGCTTTTAGTCTCATGTGGGTTCAAGTGGTAATTACCTTCACCCCATCCAGAGGTTGTTAGAGATTTAAAAACGTTTTCAGATGTTTTATAACAATATTTGTACAGTCACCAGTAGGATGAACAATTAAATCCAATAATAAAATCTAATGACAGGAAACACTAAATGTGCTGAAGTTGTGCCAAAATCACACAGGAATTTTTGTCGGGAAATACCAAAATGTATGGTGACAATTATCTCAGCAGGAAAAATATTCAGGGAAAAAGTTATTTTAGGCTATGAAAAGCTGTCCTGATACATATTTTTTGCTATTGTTTCCATAAATTCTGTTAAAGATAAACACTTAATATCTTGGTTGGCAAAGACAAACAGTATTTTACACTGAATACCAAGTTGAACATTCTGTCAGTTGTTTGGTGAACTGTTAAAGTTTCCCTTGTAAAAAAGTGTGTGTTAATTTATTCTTCCTGTCTGCAGTCCAGGCTCGTGACAGCGGCCCTCGCCCTCTGTCAGGGACGGCAACGGTCCTGTGTTCGGTCCTGGATGAGAACGACAACCCTCCAGAGTTCATGCAGCCAATGTTCCAGATCAGCTTGCCAGAAAATCTTTCTCCTGGAGTTATACATGCAGCTCTCGCCTCTGACCCAGATCACGGAGAGAATGGCACCATACATTACTCTATTTTAGGTAGCAAACACACATGTTTCAACTTGATCATAAAGCTGATAATAATACTGTACTGTTAGTTTTTATGAATAAAAGGAGTGGGTTTTATTGTACCATTTGTACATACCTGAGACTAAACTAAGAAAATTTTGAAGCAAAACACCAAGAGCTCAGGAGAAAACATATGTGAACATCAATATCAAGTTTTTGCACAGCTTTCAATTGGATAAAGTTCAGCTTTGACCAGCTCACTCTACCGCATTACCACTACTTTGATATAAGCCATTCCACTGTATCCTTCACTTTTTGTCTAAGGTTGTTGAAAAGCAGCACCTACTTCTCATCATAAAATGTTTTCTGGCTGTGAAAAGTTTTTCCTAAAGAATTGTGCTGTATTTAGCTCCTATATATATATATATATATATATATATATATATATATATATATATATATATATATATATATATATATATATATATATATATTTATGTATTTTTTTTTTTTTTTTTTTTTTTTAGGTGAGGACTACAGGGATAGATTTACCATCAACAGTAAAACTGGTGAGGTTAGCACCCTGCAGGTTCTGGATCGGGAAGAAATGCAGAACTACACTCTTACCATTCAGGCTCAAGATTCAGGTCCCACACCTCTCAGCTCAACCACACAGCTTCACCTTGTTCTTCTGGACCAGAATGACAATGTCCCCTCCTTCAGTCATGAGAACTATCATGCCGTAATCAGTGAGGGTTTACCATCAGGAGCTGAGGTCCTGCAGCTCAGCGCCTTCGATCCTGATGAGGGGCCCAATGGGGATGTGACCTTCACCTTGACAGAGGACAACAGCCATGGGGCCTTTTCAGTGGACCCCTTTACTGGCATTGTTCGCACTACGAGGTCCTTGGACAGAGAAAACCAGGATCAATACACCCTCAAAGCTATGGCCACAGACGCCTCTTCGCAAGGCCCATTGAGCTCTGTGGCATCCCTGAAAATTCATGTGCAAGATGTGAATGACAACATGCCAGTCTGTGACCAGAACCCAATTAACACATGGATTTCTACTAGGACTCAACCAAATGAGGCAGTGACGACAGTGATAGCAACAGATGCTGACCAGGGTGAAAATGGGACGATTCATTTTAGTTTATCTGAAGAGGAAAATCTGTTTGACATCAACACTGATTCAGGAGAGATTTCACTGAGAAGGCGAGTAAGAGAAGGATTCTCTGGAAGAAAGCTGCAGGTCCTGGTCTCAGACCGAGGGCATCCCTCTCTGACCACCACCTGCCTGGTTCTGGTTCATCTGAAAGGAGATCATGAAGGACTTCAGTTCACAAACAAAGTGTACAATGCTACTGTCAAAGAGAACAGCAGAGCAGGTACCTTTTATCCCCTCTGGTGCCCAAACTTTTCTATAAAAATCAAAGAAAACTAAAAAATTTTAACCTTCTGCTGCTTAAGGTACTTGGATTGCAAAGGTGGAGGCCAGTGACGACACCAACAGCAGACAAAGAATAAAATACACAATATTTAGTGGCAACGAGAATGGAATATTCTCCATAAATCATTACACAGGTAACAAACACATTCAAATCTTGCTTTTAAACCTTTTTCATCTTTCAAAGCTGCTGTTGTTGCTTTTATTCTAATTAACTTTAAATAACATCTGTTCATACTGTTTTACATTTTTGAAACATTTTGTCCGATTACACTTGTAAATGTAGGTGAAGTTCGTAAGGTAATCAAACACATTCCTGTTAATACTTTTCCACGATTGAGGAAAATGGATTCACGGTTTCAACATTTTATTTTTTTTAAAAGTCAGGAAAATATTAAGGGTTTGTATCCAACAGTTTTGCATATGTTTGGCCAAATCTTCTCTGCAAAACTCCCTAAGTTGGAGTAAGTGGAGGGTGCTTGTGAATGTTAGAATTCAAACATTCCCCCTGAGTTTTCATTGGAATTGGAACCTGGATCATTTTAACACATGAATATCAGTTACAACTGTGGCTGTATCTTTAGGTAGTCGTTCTGTTGGTAAAACACCTCCTAGTCACAAATCTTTGCCAGCCTCTACCGGTTTGTCTTCTGGACATTAAGCTTCACCATCTCACCATTGCCTCAAACCAGCTTTGTTGAAGAAAAGTTTTCCCATTGTATGAAACTGCCACAATCATATATCATTGTGTCCATTGTTAGTTCAAGCTTCAGATGCAGTGTTTAGAATTACTCTATGCATAGGATTTCAAATGCATCTTCCTCCTCATGTTTAGATGTAGCAAACTACAAAAAAGCCCCTAATGGCCTTCATTCAATGATAGATTTTCTAAGGCCCATTTTCATTAAGGCCAATATCTCGCCCATTTAAACATTTAAAAGGTTTGGTTCTTAAACTGGTCATGATTTTCTTTATTAATGCACTTAAATAGTCTGCACAGTTAAATACCACCATGTAACTACAGACAGAACAATGAATCTACATACATACAGTCTGTGGGTAACCCTATGTACTAAATAGATTTTTGGCAAACTCTGAATTACTTTTTATTAATGCTTTTTTAATAGATTTTGTTTAAAGTGCAGCTTTTTGGTCATCGCTGTTTTTGTACCTGATTTAGGAGAGATCCGATTGCAGAAAGAAAACTCTCTGGACTTCGAAGTGAGCCCTCAGATTCAACTGGTTGTTCTTGCCGAAACGGGACTGCACACAGCTCACTGCAGGGTCTTCATCACTCTGCTAGATGTCAATGATAACCCACCGCTCTTTGAACTCAGGAGCTACAGAACAGCTATTTGGGAAGGTCAAGGGCGGAACACCTATGTCATGCAGGTAAGTACAAATCAGCCATCCTTTAGTTAATTCCAGTAATGTTTGTTTGATTAGTCTTGTTTCATATTTCCTCAATTTAAACCAGGTATTTGCATCTGATGCTGACAGTGGTGAGAATGGAGAGATCGAGTACTCCATTGTGTCCGGCAACATTAATGAGGCTTTTATTTTGGACTCTCTAAGAGGCATCCTTGCCACCAACGTTCTGCTGGACCGTGAAATAACTCACTCTTACAAGTAAGCTGAAGTGGCATGAACTAGGTCAGAAATAACATTTTAGACATTAAAGCATGTGGTTTATTTTAAATGAATAAGAAATGAACAAATGTTGTGATCTACTCACACCACCATTTTCTCCACCTCAGGTATAGAATCATTATATATGTGCTAATTAAATATTTGGTCGGTAAAATATCAAAACAGAAATAACACATCTTGCCAGAAAATGTTAATTCAAGTGTATGAACCTATAGAAAGAAGACAAATTATTGACATGCAAATGAAGAAATATTACTAAAACATGCAAGAATCTGCTAAACCTTTCCTCCATTTAAGAAGAAAAATATCTCAGTATTGAATGTTAAAATAAGTATTAAATATTGGACTTTTATAGTTTGGAACTGCCTCTGTCTGTTTCATGTTTCTTTTCTCCTAAATATAAAATATACAATTTAAGAATCCCTTTTTGTACATTTGGAAGTAGGTACCAACATTATCCATACAAATATACTGTGTTTGCATACTTTGTAGAATGAAAATCTTAGTTACAGCTAAAAGTCTTTTTGGGTTTGTTTCTGACAACTATCCACATCTAGACACTAGAATTTTCATTTGTGCTTGTAAAATAACTCAGAATCAGCTAAAGGGAGTGTGCATGTACTTGGTTCAATCCCAAAAGCCTGCACTCTGAGCAAAACCCTTAACCTACAATGCTCGCTGGGCGCCAAACAATGGCAGCCCACTGCTCCCCAAGGGGATGGGTCAAATGCAGAGAGTTCATTTTTCCATTGTGAGATCAATAAAGTTGTTTTTCTATCCTTTTCTTTTCCTTTCTTGATAGGACAAGATAGATAGAGAGCTTTAGCAAACATATATTTTCAAGTTTAGGTTGGGTTCCAATCAATAAGGTCATATTTGTAGAAACCAAGACTTATAGTTAATATATTATTTTACCTTAGCTCTGGCTTTATGAACACCTCCACGGTGATCATGATTTCTCTTGAAAACCAATTCAGAGGAGTTGCAGTTGTAACATTATCTGACCATTGTCAGATAACAGATTTAAGAGTGCTCCTAAATGAGGCGTTTAAAGTTAGTGATATTATTTATGACCTAACATTACTTTGAATTCTTAATCATTTTATCCCTCACCTGTGTTCCTTGGCCTTCATAATGCTACTTTCTTACTAAGGTTATATGACAAATCTCTCAGTTCATGAAAAAACGCAAATTTACACTGAGGTAAATTCACACACAGGGGCCTTTCTACTAGTGAGGTGTCTTCTATGGGCAGTTGTTGCACTGGAATGAAGGAGCTGAATAAAAACACAATAAACTTCTGAGATGATTTTCCTTTTGCTTCAGATTTATGCACTGCTTTATGTTGGTCTCTTACATAAAATGCCCATAAAATACAGGAATGTTTGTGGATATAAAGACAAAAGTACTTTTGCAAAAACATGAACATAATGAACATAATCAAATCTTTACACATTTTTATTCCATTTTTATTCCAGGCTTATTCTGCAGGCAGTGGACAGGGGAAAGCCTCCTCTGAGTAGCACCGCCACAGTCAGGGTCCAAGTGGTGGATGTTAATGACAACAGCCCTGCCATACCACCAATGGAGCCCGTGTATATATCTGAAAGTAGGCCTGATCTGTTTTCAGAACACCTGTTGTCAAATAGTTTAATGACAGAGTTGAAGCTATGACGAATCTGGATCCATCTTTAACAATAATGTTTATTTTCTCTTCAGATCTACCAGTAGGTTATGTGGTCACCCAGGTGTCTGTGAATGATGTTGACCTCAGCTCAACCATCACCTTCAGTTTTTCAGACAACAGTAGCACCAGCAATCCCTTCGCTATCGACCGCTACACAGGTGCTATCACGCTGACTCAACCTCTTGACTATGAGGTGGAGACGGACTATACTCTGACAGTGTGGGCGTCAGACTCGCTCCATGAGACAAGTGGAGAGGTTGCGGTTCGAGTGCTAGATGTCAATGACAATTCTCCGGTCTTCATACAGGTCTCCTATCAGGTATGAAAAAAGATTATAACAGGATTAACATAAGGTTCATGAAGTTAAGTTTTTATTCTGTTATGATAAGTTATTACTAATCATTTTCACTTGCTAACAATAAATTGTGACTTAATGGCTCTTTAGTTAAACACAGAAAACTATACATGTCAAAAATAAAATAATTTTTTGTTAATTTACAACTTTAACGCACTCTCCATCTAGATATAACTCAACCATGCATGTCTTATTTACTTTTTCCAGTTTAAAAAAACAAAACCTCTAATTTCTAGCACCTGGATGCTGCTTGATTGCCTTGATTTTGTTGTTGTTGTTGTTTTGTTGTTTGTTTGTTTTTTTACAACAGCTAAACTAGATTTAACTATTCTTTCTTTCACAGTGATTAAGTAATGACCCATTACTGTGTTTCATGTTGGAAATTTGGTTTTATTTCCTAGTTTTCCAATCTGGTAATGACCCAGGCTTTATAGTATTTGACAAACCTTAATTAGAAGCTGGAACATTTTATATTGACCGTTTTATTTTATTTCCGTTGTATATTTTCTGTTTCAGGTAGAGGTGTCAGAGCTGGCCTCAGAAGACACTTTAGTTGTGACCGTTGCTGCTGATGATAAAGACTCTGGTCTCAATGGCAAGATCAGCTACAGACTGCTTTCATCTCCTCTTAATGCCTTTTATATCCATCCAGACAATGGTAAACAATATATTTTATAACCGTAATTTCTGTTTTATAAACATATAGATCTGTATAGATCTGTAACTTTTCGGCACTTGATTTGTCATATTTGTCTATACATTTAGTTTCTGACATTATGTCAATCTTTCTCAGTTGTGAGCAGCTTAGTATTCAACACCAATGGGTACACAAGCATATTATCTAGTGTGTGTATTTTCAGGTCTTTGCAAACTGTTAAACCAAAAACATTTAAGGGCCAAGGGCAGTTGTGGGGATACAGTATCTTAGAAAATCTAGCTTTGGTCTTATTCCACCTTTAAAAAAAATATGAAAAATACTAAAACCATCTATTTTTCTTCAGTTTGGCCTGTCTTTGTTTAGTAGAAAGAGGATTCATGCTACTATGTTTCTGCCCCGAGTTCATTGTGCAATGAAAATGATATGTATTAATTTAGGAAGAGGCCCATGAATAGAAATGTCCTTGAACAATAACTAAAAGTTTATGGTTACATCCATAAACCAAACACAGTCTTTTCTGTCCCAACAAACGTTTTGTTTTTCTGCATTCATGTGTTCCTCAGTGGAAGGTACTGCTCCATGAGGCATGTGTTCATCATGTACGCAAGTTTAAGTGGCAGTGAAGTGGAATAAGAAATGTTTCAGAGAAACTCTTTGATGCTCTCCCAGAAGAAAATTGCTTTTGCAGTCCGCACATGGTATTCATTTGGAAGGTTTTTCACAGGACATGAGGTTGCACTGCAATGACTTCTGCAATCTTGATGCAACTCCAGGAACGCAAAGCCATACATTCTCTTTTTTTCTTTGAAAGCAAAATAAACCCAGTGATAATCTACACATTTATTTAAATGCAGTGTTTTAAATTAACAGTTTTCAAAAATGTGTCCTTTTAGTCTCAGTTAGACTCTTTATAAGACTTTTACCAGTTACTTCTTCGCAGTTTTATATAGCGAATGCTTAAAGTTTACTGAATTATCATGAGAATACATTTATGAACATCTACGTCTTATTAAATTAGGGATGCACTGTGGATATTATGATCTTCTCTGGCCAGTTCCAATCTGACTCATTTCGGCGTTTGTTGCTATCAAGTTTCAGTCCAATACTTTCTCTTGTATCCCAAGTGTTGTATAGGACCCATATGCGGCCAATCGGAAGGAGCTACATTGAATGCCAAAAAGTTTCCAGTAATAAAGGTTGCTGAAAGGTTTCCAATAATGAGAACATATGTCAATGTCCAAATAAAAAAAACAACTAACAAAAAAACTGTAAATTATCAGGCTCAGAAACATCGCAGGGAGATTTATTAACAGAACCGGAGAACAGAGACAACTGAGAACATTAAATGAGGAAAAATGCATTAAAAGAAGCAAATGGTAAAAATACAGGAACCACAATATGGGGAGAACAAAACATAGAGCATGTCTCAGTAAGAGAATGCTAAATAGACAAACACAGAATAAGGAGTGACAAAGTGACTGAAAAGAGGAGGTAATAAATATATAAATTATAAGAGTTGACAGGCTACTGCAATTAAACAAGACCTAACAACAAACTATATTCATACGAACTCTTGTCTCTGACAACATATATTTGTGGAATTTCTAAAAACCCTTGGATCATTGTACTTTAAACATTCTCAGTGGTTTTCTTGGTTTATTGCTGTTTTTTAGAGATTTGCAGCCTAAAACTAAAGACTGCAACAGTTCATCGCTTAAAATGAAAAAAAGCTAACAAAGATAATTTGCAGTGGGGATTTATTGGTGGTATTGCTGGCCTATTCCCTGAGAGCTACTACAAAATAATAATACTAATTAAGCCAATAATAATAATTATTAGCTAAACGCTAAAATATAATAACAATCTGCCACAAGCTTTCAGGTATTGTAGTGCAGATCTACAAATGCTATCCAGAATTTGGTGAGAGATGTGACTTCCAAAGTTAGTATTGGCTTAATACTGCATTCTGCTGATAGTTATGGCGACAATCTAACAGGAAGTTACTACATGCCCTTCAATGAATGCGGACACTAAATGGTGAGCAAACAGTGTCAATAGTTTGGGTTGTTTTGATGGTTTAAAAAAACGGGACTGCAGCTAAAAAATTTCCTAAGCACAACAAAATCTTGTATAACAAGTGGAGGACAGGTTGAAACCTACCAGATCCAAAGACATGATGGGGAAGGATTGAGACCCTTACAGAAATAACATTAATGATGCAGACTTAAAAAGAAAATTTAAAATTTGAACTCAATCATCTTGTTATATCACAGCAGATATATTGTAAACTGTATTGATACATTTTTATTTATTTATTTATTTATTTTTTTTTATCCTTTATTTAACTAGGTAATACCCATTGAGATTAAAAATCTCTTTTGAAAGGGAAACTTGGCCAAATGTATTGTGCAACAAGAAATTAAATAATCTGAATAACATCAGTCTGCCCTTACATATTCTGTTATTATAGGTTCCATTTTCACCAAGATGCCCCTAAGGACCATTACAAACAGCAACCTGCTCCATCTTCTGGTCGAAGCAAGAGATGGAGGCGATCCCATAAGATCCACAGTCACCTCTGTGGATCTGGTGATTCTAGACTCAAATGACCATCAGCCTTTGTTTCACCAGGATGTTTACACACTCACCATCCCTGAGGATACATCTCCAGAAACAACCCTGCTCACTCTTTCTGCCCAGGACGAAGACTGTAGTCCAGCAAATTCCCATTTGGACTATGCCATAATCAGTGGAAATCAAGACAAACGATTCTGTTTAGAAGAGAAAATGATTACCATTGAAAATCAAATTAAAAAAGTAGGGAGGCTAGTTTTGTGTAAATCTCTAGACCGTGAAACAACTCAATATTATGAACTCACAGTAAGTGTTTCTGATCGAGGAATACCCCCCCAGAATAGTTCATCAATTGTTAAAGTGACTGTAACAGACTGCAATGACAATGCTCCTGTGTTTTCCAGCACAGAGTACCATACACAAGTGAGTGAAAATGTCCTGATAGGAACCAGTTTGGTCCAGGTCAGCGCTTGGGATCCGGACCTGGGCATCAATGGCCTTGTGAATTATGAAATTATTTCTGGGAACAGTAAAGGCCACCTTAAGTTGGACCCCCAGTCTGGTATTTTAGTGGTCAATCACTCCCTTGACTATGAGGAAGATTTGAAATATATCCTCACTATCAAGGCAACTGATGGGGACCAGACATCAGAAAACCATAATGTGGCTTTTACAGTTGTCTCGATAGAAGTTCTGGATGAGAATGACAACACCCCATACTTCATGTTCCCGACAGTTATATGTTCAGTGCAGGAAAACCTCCCAGCATTTACGCATACATGCTCTGTCCAGGCTGTTGATAAGGACTCAGGTCCTTATGGCCAGCTGACCTATTCAATATTGTCCTCTTGCTTCATGGATTATGGCAGCAGAAGCCCAGAGAGGAAGGACGCCTTTACCATTGATGGCCTTACTGGCGACATTCTCACCAGACAAACTTTTGATTACGAACGTGAGACTGAATACTGCTTTGTAGTGGAGGCCAGAGACAAAGGTGACAAATCCGCAACGGTGAAAGTCCAAGTGGCAATAAAGGGAATGGATGAATTTAGTCCCATTTTCACTCAAAAAAAGTACCACTTCCCTCTTCCAGAAAACACTGTGACTGGGGAGACAGTTGGTTACGTGATGGCAATGGACCATGATGGAGGGGTAGATGGGCTGGTAGAGTACTCGCTTTTGACGCCATCTCCATTTTTTTCAGTTAACAAAACAATTGGAGCTATTTTTGTGTCTGGTCCTGTGTATCGCACACAAGCCAGCCATGCCAGCAAAGATATAGTGGAACTGGTTGTGTCTGCAGGTAGTCCCAAATTGGGTTCTAGAACCACAACTTGCCTGGTTTTTGTGAATATCTCCAGCTCAGCTGAAGCCCTAGTTGGGGTTCATTTTGATTCCCACATACTTAGTTTGGGTGTGTCACTTCTTCTTTTCCTTTTTGTCCTTGTCATCTTTGGAGGCATAGTTTTCAGATGCAATATTAAAAAAGCCGCCCTGAAAAACGCTGGTGCCAGTACTGAGCAGTTTAACCATGGTACTGACTTATCCAGGGAATCCAACAGCCAGATGCAAAGTGTAATTTCCTTGGAGGAGTTAACACCACCTGTAGGTTTTGTTGCGAAGAGAGAAGTCTCTAACTCATACATGCAGTCAGATTCAAGTGGCCGTGGATCGGCGGAGGGTGAGACAGCTGAAGACCAGGAAATTAAGTGGATTAATGAGTTTCCCTGCTATAAAAAAGATGACTTGAACATGCAGAAACCTAAGTATCCCATATCAATCTTACCAGTTGACAACATCTCCTGCCACTCTATTGATGTAGGACCAGAATATATTTCATCTCTTAGTAAATGTTTATCCAAGGGCATAGCGAGCACAGAAAGTCTCCACCATTTCAAAGAGGAGGGAGGAGGGGAGGGATTGCTGCCTGCTGTTCTCAGGGTGAGAGATTTAGAAGAGTCCATGGGGGCAAAAGGGTATGCCCCCCTCTCCATGGCTCAAGTCTCTGCAGATTCCCTGACATCACTTGTCTGCCTTGAGGAGCCCCTTGATGGTAGCTACAGCTGGGGTTTGCATTTAGACTGGGAACCCCGCTTTCAAACTCTTGCTGCTGTATTTTCTGATATTGGAATGCTCCCTGATGAGGAGCTTCAAGGAGGCCATGAGGACTTTGCTACAGAGTCAAGCTCTCTGATGTACCCACCACCTCTCATAACCGGAATTGCTCAGCCAGGCATTCGGACTGTTCCACCGAGGAAGCCTGGACGAGTGCCAACATTGATCAGGAAGCCTTCCTACCCCAAATATGCTTATTCTCCTTTAGCCAGGAACAGAGGATTTACCCCGTCAGCTATGACACCCACCTTTACCCCATCATTGTCCTCTCTCACCATAAGAACCCCTAGCTCTTCACCAGTTGTGTCAGACACAGGAGTGGGGGGGATCAGACTCGACTCAGGGCCCCATACTGCAAGTCTTTTAGAAGCTGAACTTCAAGTGTAGAGTACAAATCCAGTGCTCCACAGATCACTCGAAAAACTCTGGTGATGCACAGTCTGAGTTCCTGACATTTTAAAATGTGCCGGACTTTTCATTTAGTATTGTTCCGATGTCTGTTTTCTATGAAACCATTCTTAGAACAAAAGTGAATTTTATAAACCACACAACACTTTTATGCTGCAGTGAGCAAACCATAAGTAAGTTCCAGCTTGGAGTGTAAGCAGCTCAGTGGCACCTGGTCTGTCACAGCCTGATCCACCCTTACTACTGGTAAACATAGGCTATCTATCAGACTGCTCCGGACTGTCAATTCAAGTAGAATAAAGCATCGCACCACATTATCTGAACATAATAGTTTTTCTTTTTTCCACTACAGCTAAGACAGTATGTAACTATAGCATAACATTAATGCACCATTACTGCTTATATTGGTGCTCCTTTGCAGACAGCACATATCATCTGCATGTTACTTTAAAATCTCTGCTCCTTACTTTTAGTCTTAAAGTCACATAACTGTTATGGTTTAGGCCGCTACACTAAATGAGAGCTGAGCAGTTTGTTCGTACTCTCGAGTCAACAAGAACCAAAAAAGATTAGTTTTGCCTCTGATGAATATACTTACCGGTAATAAGAACCTCAGCTGTCAAACTCATAGAATGTCCTATCCACAGTAGCTTACAACCCGCCTGTGAAAAAACAACAGCAACACAGGGCCAGACTGGCCATTCTTTTCAGATTACTAAGAAGAGTAAAACAAATTGGTTTATATTATGTATTTAGAAGATGTATATTACAAATGTTCATATTTTCTCACCACCTCTACCAGTTGATCCTCAAACTATTGATCACAATTCCGTAAAAGTTTAAAAAACAATCCACTGGACTTGGTTTCCAAGATTTGAAGACGTTTCGCTACCTCTCCAGGAAGCTTGATCACAATAGTTTCCATGTATTGATTGCTGGACCTGAAATAAAGGAGTACACGTCTGACCTAAAAAAAGGGAGGGGGATCATACCGGCTTTTTCTGCATAACAACGCATATCCAGATAATGACCCATCACATAGTTGTTCTCACACAAGCTGTGATAAGGAAGTTCTGTCCAGGCAAGTCAAGGTCAAGCAGCAAGAACCAACCGGACGGGGCTGCAAGAAAAAAAATTATGTAATTTTGTTCTTGCAGCTGTAAGATTAACAAAAAAACATCTTACTTATGATGTATAGAGCAGCTTTAAGTCTGGCCTAAATGCAGAGTTACTGAGGAAGGGCATTTAGTATATTACATCTTTGGTTGCTTTCATAACTGGCATCTTTAGTAAATCTGAACTAATAACTTTAAATAGCCTGAAATAAAGCCTGTTTTGAATTACATTCTTTGAAAAGCTACAATTTTAACATGCCCAGATGGTTATGTTAAACAGTTAAAAGAATGTGCTGTGTAAACATTTACAAAATGAAACACTTTTTATTGCCATTCTGCAGTTGGTTTCAATGATAGGTTAAAGTTTTAACAACCAAAAAAAAAACACCTTTTTTTATTGTGTTCTCTGAAATTTTTTTTTAAATACTATACAAAAAATCCAACACAATTAGGTCCAGGTGATTTTATCGTTTTATATCATAGGTCTATTTTGATGTTATACATGTATACAGTAGGGCAGTAAAGGAGTTTCAATGTTCTCAGAATAAACACAACAAAGTACACATTGTACAGATTTAAGAGAAAAATTATGTTGTTTGACTGTTCATAAAGTCCAGATTTTTTGCTTCATGACTTCAGATTATCTGTTTTGCTTATCTGTTGATTCTGTGTGCTGATAAATGCACTTATTTTTTCTAACATTCTTTATCAATATCCAGCACTTTATGTAAAAATTGTATATATGTTTTGACTTTGAATATGAATACATTTGCTAAGAAATTTCAAATAAAGACACTCTAAAAAAAGTGTAATGTTTTGTTTTAATTACTTGTATTTATTTATATAAAATTTTTATCCTTGGTTGGCAGCACAACACTTCCAAATTAAGCAAAGTCAAACATACAGGTTAGTTTAGATTTTGATTTTTTTATAGAAATTTTGATGATTTTAATTAAGACAATTCTGTGACTAATTTTAAGACAATTTTCTTTTTAGCACTTGGCGTATGTAAATATTTTAAATCTAACATCACCAACCACAGCCCTACTGGGCCATTGACAGACATCTAAATCAAAGTAAAAATACTTAACATTTGCAGCTAAAAAACCCATATATTCTGTTTATACACTACCAGTGGTGTAGTCCAGCCTACCAGCGTATATGACATATTATCACTTTAATATCTCTTAGATTTACATATAACTACATACAAATGCATATTTTCCCCTGTTGCATCTTCTCGTTAATAATCATCATCTCTGTGCATTTTTATGTTCCTTAATGTCAAGTACTTTTTGTTATGAGATGCTTAGGGCTTTGTATTGCACTTTAGCAAACTGCAGTGATCGAGATCTTTCGCTAAACTGGCAACAAATAAGCCCTCTTCATTTAGTTTATATCTCCATAGTGCTACCAATGTGAGAAAATTGCCATTAAAGGAGCTTTTATCAAACATTACAATTCTGTCCATGTCAAAATAGTTACAATAGTTACATACCGGGACTTTGAGGAGGAAAGATGGATGGATGGATGGATGGATGGATGGATGGATGGATGGATGGATGGATGGATGGATGGATGGATGGATGGATGGATGGATGGATGGACGGATGGATGGATGGACGGACGGACGGATGGATGGACGGATGGACGGACGCACGGACGGACGGACGGACGGACTCACTCACCTGGCCTGTTAACCACCTCCTTCCTGATTCCAACCTAGTAGGCCATTTGTTTCCTGTCAACTGTGCTCAGTGGCTCCTGTTCTCATGTAAAATCTCTTGCTACTTGGATGAGTTAAAGCCCCAAGGATGTTTTTTCTATTATTAGTTTTGCCACAGGCAACCTTTAAAGGAGCACTAACAAAATTTTAGCACTAGGTCTGCTGCAGCGGTGGGAGTTGCTCCCCAAAAGAGGCTCAATGTTTAAATAAACCTGAATTGTTGCATTAGCAAATGTTTAAACACATCCTTACAACAACAACAAACAGCTGCTGTGAAGCACTCTGAAATAATAAACTCTAGAAACCATGACAAGAGTACAGCACAAAAACCAAATACCAAATGATTGCTTTTACCTCTCTCGTCTGAGTCTCATTGGGAAAACCTCCCCGTTTTCTGGTCACTGCCAGTCAAAAACCCTAAAGTAGGTTCTGCCAATCAGCATCGAGCAGCCAGCTTCATGTCCCACTCCATAGACCCCGCTGAGAGGCTTAGCCCCACTGGAAGTGACATATTTTTGCATGTTATCCAATCAGGGCCTTCTTTCTTGCTGCTGGCATCAATACACAGAGGCTCAAGCCTAGTTGGGGATTACTCAAAGAGACTGACAGACAATGTTCTGCTTTGTTTCAGAGCAGAAGGGAGATTGTATTAGATAGCGGGGCTCAACACCTGATTTATGCGCAACACTCTCATAAAATTGTCAGCCTCGGGGCTGATCCGGGATACCAAGCAAACAGAGCGACCGAACCCGACCCGGTGACAGTAGCCTGGACAACGACGGCCCTGTGCTACCCCCCGCCTGCCTGGTAAGGCTGGCTCGCTGCTCCAGTCCGTCAGGGTTTCTGGACCAGCCCCGGAGCTGATGGCTCGGTTCGAATGCCCGGTCCGGTCCAGTCAGCGACCCTGCAGACCCCCCCCCAAAAAAGTGTCCTCCTTTTCAGAAACCCAACTCTGGTCACCATAGATTTGCTAGTATTGCTATCAACAGCTTAGTGACAAAATAACACTTACAGCTTGTGATGGCCTTATGGTTGGAACAGCCCCTCATTGCAGGGAAAGAAGTTTAGCAAATCCTGCATTGAACTGTCCAAGATTTTGAAAGCTGTCTTCGGTAAAATGCTTAGAGCAAATGAACAGCTGAGCATCAAACTTTGCAGGGATCTTCTGATAAACCAAAACAATTAATGCTTGTTGAGTCTTCAGATCCTTGGGATCGTTACTCCATGCAGCCTGGAATACTGCATTTACACCCGTGGTTTTGGCTCATTTTCAATAAAGAAACTGCCTGCTTTGTAATTATTGTAGAAGTAAACCCAACTGTAGGCTAAACAGCTAAACTAGTTTGTTACATCTACCTATATTCATGTTCTTGGGCCAGTGAACCAGTGGGCTGGTCTGTATGTCAATTTTGGGCCGTGACAAAAGTACAGGCCAGAACCAAATAAGGCAGCATCCCCGAATTTGATGTCAATTCGGGGCTTTGTTTGGATTCCCCCGTTTTATCGTGGAAGTTTAGAATTGTGAGATTTGCAGAAAAAGGAGGTGTCGGTGGGGTTTAAACTTCTCTGTATGTCCATTACACCCACTGAACTATCGTTATTCATCTATGACAATGTAAACTCGGTTTTGCATTCTGACCTCTTTAAGTTGCATCAGCATCCACACTGCAAGAGAGGAAGTATTAAACAGATAAATAACTCTAAACTACCCAAAAGTGTATTTTAACCGGTTTTGAACAGGTTGCAGAATGGCATCTGAATTTATTTTTAAGGGGAAAATGTAGCACAGCTCAGTATTGCAGCACAACACTTCATTACACTTTGTCAATTATGCAGCATGCATTTTAAAAAGTGTCTATCTTTCTATCTATCTTTCTATTTAACTTTATGGAGTCTAAACTCAGAGCCTTCAATGTTGAAAAGTGTAGAGTATAATTCAATATAAGTAGAGCAGTTTGATGTTGTTTTTATTGCACTCTTTCCAAGTACAACTTGTAGATGTGTTTCAAGTTTATGGCAGGAGATTATAAATTCCATCTGTTGCTGCAGTGAGTGAATGTTCTGAAGCTGTCTTTTATGAAAGATGGTGAAGATTATAGGCTAAATTGAGATGGGGAAAAATAAAAACAATATGCAGAAAGAAACTGGGCACTTCAAAGGATATTTTCTCAATGTTTCACACACATTAATCTTTCTGAGGTAAAAAAAAACAATGTTTATTTTAATTTCACAGGCATGAGTTTGTCATTGTGCAACTGATTAAATTTCTATCCAAAAAATATTTCTATTTTGCTATGAAATGTCTTGACGGAAACGTCTAGAATATAAAAACTTGCATAACTTTGCTTTTTTTTGTTGTCATCTTTGAAATGCGAGTAGAAAATGTTTTTCCAAAATGAGCCTTGGAAAATATTTAGTCATAATGCAGTGTTACGAGGGCTGATATACTTCTCCAGCCCCCTAAGCGAAAATCTAATTTTATTCTTTTGCAATCTGTCAGTGTGCTGGTCTTTATTTACTGGAACACATTTTGAACCAATCAAACTGTCATTACAAAGACTGAGCAGAGATTTTTTTTATATTGATTCACCAGACTTTTTTCATACGACACAGATAAGAAATAACAGTTTGTCTTCAGTTACTTGCCTTAATTGCCAAAGTCATTAAGTTGTAACACATGCAGTTTGACATTTCACTGTGTCATTAATTCATACACTTTTTTTTAAACTTGTGTTTTTATTAAAGCATTTAAATAACTCACCAAAATACTATTGTTAGGGTGGGACTGGAAGAGAACTTTATTCCTTTATTTTATAGGACCAGGCTGTAAATCGTTACTCCACAGTGGCTTGGGATGATGCCAAAATTCAAAATATGTTGACTTAAGAGGTCAGTTGTCAGAGTTTCTTCGGAAAAGATACCTAAGCCCCTTTTACACAACCCCTTTTGAAACCGTGCCCAGATCGGTCTGAGCACAGTAACCGAGATAACTGTTGAGTGTAAATGGCATGCAAACTGAACGGGACTGCACCAGACATATTCGAACCGCGCTAACATGCTACTAGTTCATCAATAGGGCTCAGCGCAGTTCAGTTCAAGCCGGTTCTCAGATAACAAAGAGCGCATGAGCAGACCGCGTCTTATAGTCAGCCTCCATAATCATGACATTTTAGATATTCATATAAATACTAGATTCCCTTCCATGCCACATGATTTCCTGTGATGATTCTGCTTAGCAGTGTGATGAACCACAACATCTGTCATTTTTTTTCTATGTCTGTACAGTATGCCCTGACTAGACTATCGTTTGTCGTATCCACTTCCCAAAAGCCGACTCTGTCAAATAAATTCACCAAAGGCTGCCTTCTTTGCCTGACTCTCCGCAAATAAAGAAATATCATTATTATAACCAAACTGCCTGTATGTTACGGGCACCGCCATGTTGATTTGCTTGTTTTAGAGAGCAGTAGTACCATAGATCCTCACTAGGAGGCGAGGAACCGTGCTAGTTTGATATGTACCGGTAAATGGTCTTAAGGAACCAAGCTCGGCACGGTTAACTGGTCCAAACTCGGCACGGATCAGTTTCAGAGGGATATTGTAAATGGGGCATAATTTAATAACAGCTGAATTCTGAAATTTCAGTTTAAGAAAAAAAGTACACTGTGTGCCTTTTTAAGTAAAAA